AATAAAGGAGTACTGATAACAGAGGACTTAAAATTAGAGTTGAACAAATGGAATTATAGATGTAATAGTTGATTCTGGAACATGGCTGTTATTTGAGAGACTCTACATGATGTAGCCAGAGGAACATAGTGAAGGATAACTTTTTGACATAAATGAGGAAAGTGTTGTGATGAATATGACAGATGTCCCAGAGGTAACACCAGCAAAAAAAGCTCCACAGTAGAAGAACTTTTGGAACTATTTCATGACATTGACAGTACAAAGGATAAAATGTTCAAAGTCTATCCAGACTTGGAAAGGAGTTTGACAATTTGCCAAAGCTTACAAAATATGCTTGCTCAGTATGTTAATTTATACAAGAAGGCCAGCTCTATTCAAACTACTATTTGTAATTTTTTTAAAGAAATGATACTTTCTCAATGTTTTTAATGTTTTAAATTACACTGTACTCTAAATATTAATTTAACTTTGTTTTTCATTTCCCTACACAATTGTAACTGGCAGAATTTTTAACATTTTGACAAAAATTTTTAAAAGTCACAGAACATTTATAGTTTTTCCCATAATTAATATTGATTTGCATGGTTTCAGTTTGGATGATCAGTTTTATGGTCCTCTAGTACCATGCCAAATGAGGATGGCCTGCGTATAAATTGTACCACTATTTTCTTTATGGATAAACATTTTATTTATGTATCCAAAATTTTAATTACTTGGGCCAAGTTCAGATATATAAATAACTTGAAATTTGTTTCTTTCCCATCTCTTAATATTTCTGATTTTGATTCTACTATGTCTACTGAATTTATTATTTAATCTGCTTAAAAACAGAGTTTGTAAATTTTCTTATTGGCATACCTTAAGGAATATGTTCACATCAGTTTTTTTTTTTCCAATATATTCATCCGATAAAAATTGTATGTTGTTATTTACTCGACTTTTTTGTTATTCTTCCTATGTGAGTATAGAAAACAGTGACCCAAATAATATTTCCAAAAGACTATACTATAAACTGATTTTTAAAAATAAAATGTTAGGTCCCTAGACTGTAGCTATGCCAAAATTTAAATGTAGGCATTTTTCCCAGGAACTTATTCCCCTTGCTTTCAAAAACTTTACAGACTGGTGTTAAAGTAGAAAATAAATAAGGAGTATAGTCACAGATACAGGAAATAAATGGAGGCCTTTCTACGATAGTGGTAATAATTCCAGTGTATTAAAGATATAATAATATCACATTAAAAAGTAGCAAATACATTCTTTGTCCTACTTATTTACCTTTCATTTTAACATTGAGAGAATTGAGATGTAATATAAGATACTTAGAATTTGTTTTTGGGTTGCCTTGGTAGCTCAGTCAGTTGAGTGTCCAACTCTTGATCTGGGCTTGGGTCATGATCTCAGGGTCACAAGATGGAGCTCTGCATCAGGCTCCGTGCTCAGCAGGCAGTCTCCTTGAGATTCTCTGCCCACTCCCACAGCCTCTCTGTCTTTCTCTGTCTCAAACAAATAAATAAATAAATCTTAAAAGAAAAAAAAAAAAGAATTAGAATCTCTTATCTACTCAACTAAAATCTATTCAAGTCTCTCTATCAGTTCATTCATACATCCAAGTCTCATCATAAATTAATTAATGGGCACTTCCTGTGAGCCAGGAACTGTTCTAAACACTGAGGATACCACATTGAATAAAATAAAGAACTTCAATTAAAACTCTGAAGGAGCTTATATACCATCTCTTACTCTACCTCTAAAATCTGATTTATAATTATCTTTCACGGTACTATAAAAATTTCCACCTGACACATTCTCTTCCATTCTACACATCTCAGAGTCTCTATCTTTATTTTATATCATATGCCTGAATCTGTTTTTTCTCTGATATATACATCAATCTTATTTAAGTTCTTCCTATGCCTCTAAGCCCACAGTAACTCATGAATATGCCTTTGTTTTTCATTCAATGAAAGCTAAATTAAAGAAAAAAAGAAAAAGTACTGACTTTCTTATAGACCCGAGTAACCACCGAATGCTAACAATAAAAGGAAATTCAGCACCCCCCCTACTGCTAAGTACCTGAATTTTTCTTTCTTTTCTTCTTAAAAAATAGTTTAACCTAATTAAAAAAAGGATTTGACTCACCTGACTTGTTCCCATTCAGGCAAAGCTCTTTACTCCAAGTGACTTCTTTGGCTACTGGTCAGACTTCATATTGGTCTCCTTTAGATCACGTGTTGGGTTCTGTGGCTGAGATGGAGTAGGAATGAGATCATGAAGAAAAGATCATGACTATTGCTGCCCCCTTATTAAAGTCTCTGGATATGGGACAAACCCTTCAAAGGAAATTGTACATACAGAAGATACCATGTTTAACATGTCTAGTTGACCATTAAAAGAAGTTGTAACTCCACTGCATTCTGTTTCATCATGGGCTAGATGAGAGAAGAAACTCTGGTCAGAAAAACACCTGGTAGCCAAAGAAAGGGAAGCATGTGGTTAGACTCAAGTATTCACAGAAATAAACATGAATAAGTAAATAAATAAAGGCATACTTAAAAAAAAAAAAAAGGAAAAGGAAATAGGCTTATGACAGAACTTTCTATACCTGTATGCCTCTTACCCTGGCTCCTTGTTCCTCATCTTCTTCCTGACACTCCTCAGGAGCTTCTTAGCCCCCACCTTCCTAGAGCTGCTATACCACCCTAGGGAGCCACCACCACTACCTTAATGCTGAAGACATTTCTTATGTTCTATTATAAAAAGTGAAGAAACTTAGCTCTGATAATATTTTTACTTGTGGCATCTCACATAACACTTGAACAACTGAGAACAAGATGTCTTGTGCTTTGTAATTAGGGTGATATTTAGCTGTCTCAAAAAAAGTATAAACTCAGAGCAAAATTGAGTCAAAACATTGGGTCTGTTAGATGCTGTTGGTAAATGAGTGATTTTGATAACACCATGTTTATGAGATATATAATTCTTTTGATTGATTTGTCTTGGTGATCTATAATTAATGTTTGTGTTTATTGATGAGAATGAGTCTATATTTGAAAACTACATGCATCTAGAATAAGTAGAAGGACAAAATATTCAATTCTTGATAAATTGTCAAACTGGCATGATTCTACCTTGCTACCTGTATCACTTTGGTCAAATTGTTTAATTCTTAGAACTGTTTTCTTATCTATAAAGATGGGGGAAATAATTCCTTTGTAGGATTGCCATTGAATCAATGGAAGTATTTGGAAATGGCTGGTACGTCATCTGGCACATAGTCGCTCAATGAAGTTCCTTTCTTCCCTTTCCCCCTTCTTTTTTCCCCTCCTTCTTTCTCATGACCACTTCTGTGTTCTCTTTCTAATAGTCTAAACACAAAAGGTCCAAGCTCCCACAGGACAGGCCTTTTCCTCTGCCCTCTTGTTTTTTTTCCTTTTGTTACCTCATTGTGACTAATACGCTTACATACAATAGAGAGGTAACAAAAAAAATTAGTCTCTACCCTTGTTTTCTTAGTTTTTCCTATCTTTTCTCTGGTTCCCAAGAGATCTGTTTACTTCAGCATTTTATTGTTACTTTAAGTTTAATATCTCAGAAGCTGCTTAAATCACTTTCTTATTTTTCAAATAGACACCTCTTATAATTTCCTCATTGTCTAGCCAAAGCGTTACTTTCTTCTTTAATTCATTAATACAAGTTGATAAAGCCCTCAGTGATTAATCCTGAATGACTCTTTAACTCCATTATTCTATATCCTGTAATTCTAAAAACTTATCATCAGTTGGCAGTACATTAATTTCAAGTTTTTGGTATTTGTGAGCTCAAATTATTTCAGTTTTTTAGTTAGAATTTTCTTAAAATCCTATGAGGTACTCTCTGTATTTTGCTAGATTTATTTATTTATTTGAGAGAAAGAGAGTACACACACATGTGCATACACATACTCTTGCTTGAAGGAGAGGGAAGAGGAAGAAAAGCAGTCTCCCAGCTGAATGCAGAGGCCTATGCATGGCTCCATCTCAAGACCCTGAGATCATGACCTGAGCTAAAATCAAGAGTCAGATGCTTAACCGACTGAGCCACAAAAAACCCAGAAGTTCTATGAGGTTCCACAGAAAAGGAACTTTTTCTTTCTTTCTTTTTTTTTTTTTTAAATATGTCTAAACCTAGTAAACTATAGATTGATTTACTGATTGTTGATTAGAGCCAAATCAATTTAACTCCTAAGTGTTCCTTTATTTCTTTCCTCCTGTTCTTTTGTTCCACTTCTTTCATCTTGCTCAAAGACCTTTCTAGAAGAAAAAGGATATTATCTATATTATATCTTTGGGCATTAGTAATGAGATTAAAGATTTGATTTGAGTTCAGTATATGGGAAAAATTTTTTGATACTAATTTTTTAGCCCTATAAAACCCCTTTTTTCATAGGATCTATGAGAAGCCTCTTTGATTTTTCTTAGGTCATGTATGGAGTGTGATAACAATGATTTGGATTAGAAAAACTGCCAGATTATGGGCCAGTTTTTCAGTAATTACCAATAGATTACTTCTGAGGGCATTTTGCTTCAGCGTTAATAAAGTAAAGATGACTTGATACAGCCTGGTGTTGGCCTCTATGCTGGGCATGGAGACTGCTTAAGATTCTCTCTCTCCCTCTCCCTCCTACCCTACCCGCTTCTCCAAAAATAAATAATAGATAAATAATAAACTAAAATCAGCCTTTAAAAAGCTTCGGTAAGATTTAATAGATCCATTGCTGGATACCAGCTTTATATAGAAGATGCTGTTTTAATTCTCTATTTAATACTATGCTGCCATTTTTGTTGATAGTAACAAATAATTCAATTACTTATAATAAAAAAATAAATAAGAAATAAATTATAAAAAGCCATTGATGAGGAAACCAAAAGTTGGGATAAAAAAGCACTTAGAACCTTTGTTTAGTTTTAGGCTTGTATGAGTTTACGGTTCATAGCATGTCTTCACCTTTAACCTTGCAGGGACTCAAAGGCTATCCAGGGCTCCCCGGACTCCAAGGTGAACCAGTAAGTACTTCATTTATAAAACTTGTATCTTCTCCAATAAAAATGACACACATTGGTGAACTCCACTGAGAGATTATTTTCCCATACTTATTAAGATCTTCTCCTCAATGATTTTCACTCTGTTTAGTGCAGGACAGACTTTTTCAGTTGCTCATGGTATAGGTTTGTTTTTGTTTTTTTCCCAGATCCTTGACTGACTTTAACTATCTGCGTAACAGGTTCCAGAACAGCAGTTCTTAAACGTTTGAGGTTCACAAACTCCTTTAAGAATGTTATAAAGGCTATGAGCTCTTTCCCAAGAAAACACACATTTTCACACACATGCATGCACACACGCACACACACATTTGATTTATTTTTATTTTTTGTTTTCATTTTTTCTTTCACACATTTGACTTTTTTTTAAAGATTTTATTTATTTGAGAGAGACAGAGAGAAAGTGCATGCACACACATGAGTGGGAGGGAAGGGCAGAGGGAGAGGGAGAAGTAGATTTCCCACTAAGCAGGGAGCCCGATGTTGGGCTTTATCTCAGGACCCCGGCATCATGACCTGAGCAGAAGGCAGACGCTTAACCAGGCAGATACTTACTAAGTCACCCAGGTGCCCCACACGTTTGATTTTTTTATACAGTTTCAGGAGTTTGCCTATTTACAAAAGCCTACTCATAACTGTTAATTTCCTGACTTTTGCATAAGGGAATGTAAATAAATTTTAATAAAAATCCAAATTAGAATAGCACATATGTTATTGTCCATTATACACATACGCACATATTTAAAAGTCAGAATAGTTTGGGAACTATTTAATTTTTAATCATGTTATTCTTTCTCTCTCCCATCAGAAAATAATATATGTCATAGGAAAAAAAAATAAAGCCATATCTCTTGTTTTCAATGTAATGTGTACTAGGTCAGTATAAATAAAGCAGTGAAAAGGGTAAGAGATAAGGAACTAACTAGGGTGATGGACACCATTATTGGAGATTGAGCAAAGAGCCTCAGGAAGCCCTAAAGAGAGCTCCAGAAAGAAATGTGATAGAATGTCCCCGAGGAAAGATATAAATGAAATAAAGTTAATTTTCTCTTTTATTCATGTTAAGTGGGACAGTACATTCTGTTCAGTCCTGAGGCACAATTTCTCAGGATTATTAATTACTACAAATGGCAAGTAAAGTGATATATTATATTATTATTCCACTTTACTAATTCTACTTGGTAGCAGTGCTGGGATTCTCAGTGAAGTCTGATTGTCTCCGAGTGTGTGCTTTTAATGCTTGGTGTTAGAAGTGGGATTGGGGCAGGTTTCCTATTCCTAATTTCTCCAGGGTCTAGATATAGATCTTTGTGTCTAAATTGCTCCAATCTATAGATTTAAGTGGGCCAACTTTTTTGTTTTTAACCATTTTGAAGTGCATAGTGAATTTTAAGTTGTAGTGTTTGCTTTGAGTTTCTTTTGAGCTTCCGTGGTTGTCACAGTGATTTTAGGGTGTGGTTGGCTTAGACATGTTTATGCCATAGAAGACTGCTGAAGGCTTACTTGTTTACTTTGTTTACTGCCATTCCAGGAGAGCAGAATTTAGCCATCCCCCGGAATTCTTTTTGTATTTCTCTTCGCAGCTGGAATGTGTTAGATCTCTACATGTTGCCCTAATACCCTCCATGAAAATCCATTCAAAATGAGATTTCCTTTATGTCTTAAAACAGATTGCTTTTTAATAGAGCTCAATTAATCTAATTTGCCTAGGAGAAGAATGAAAGGGGTGGTGGTTGGCCTTTCCCAGACAGTGACCTACAGAACAAAAACAGCCCTTTTAATTGGTTTCACTGCTTTCTATTGGCATACACAAATACAAGGTTTTGTGAATGTCTGGATATAGTCCTATGTATTTTAGAATTGGATGAGGCATAAAGGAAGCTGTTGTAAATAGATTGGAGCAAATCTCATAATTAGAGGACTTTTCCTAGAGTACTATTGGAAGTTACGTTCACTTCAGAACTACACTAGAGAAGCAGCCTTGGATGGTCTTCTCTGGAATTAGACCTGCTGATTCAAATCCTGGCTTCCCACATACTAGCTGAGTGACTTTCCGCTGGTGACAGACGCTGTATGTCTCATGTTTTAATCTGTAAAATAGGGATAATGATACCTACCTTATAGGGTTTAGACAAATGTAAATAAGATAATACTTATAAAATACTTGTAATAGTGCCTGGCATATGACAGGAGCTAAATGAATGTTATGGGAATATAATATTATATATTATACATTATTTTAATAAGGTAATATTTAGTATAGAAATATGATTTCTGAAATTCATAGGATAAATCTCTCCATATGTAGATAAGAATTTTGTTCTGTACTTCTCAGAAAGCCACTGTTTTATTTACATTCTGTTAAATTATCCATTGTCATATATATATGTATGTATATACACACACACACTCATCAACATATATATATTTAGATGAATGTCTATATGTATATAGGGTACATATATGTGTATGTATGTGTGTGTGCATGACATGACAGCTTTGGTCAGATTGTCTGAGTTCTGAGTTCATATCCGGGCTCTGCTACTTACTCGCTGTGGCATCTTGGGCAAGTTTCATAACTTCTCTGTATCTTACTTTCTTCAAATGTAGAATAGAGAAAATAGTATCTGTCTCATAGACATAAAGTTAATGTAATGTGCTTATCATAGTGAGTAGCATATAAAAAGGACTCAGTAAATGCTAATTGTTGGAGGAAGTGGGAGAGGAGGGAGAGAAAAGAAAACAAAATTGAGAGAGAGTCTGAGAAAAGTGGAGATAAAGATATATTAGGAGCCTACATGTCTAATAAAATGGGAGAGCAAAAATGTTCATCTATGATCCTCCAATTGCTTTTCCTTTGTCTGTTCTTTCTATAGATTTTCCAAATTTTTAGGAATTTAATAGTATTTCTATACTTAAACTGAAGGTAGCACTCTCTGTGTGTTTCAGAGCAAAAGGGAAAAGGGCTAGTGTCTTTTATCTCTCACAAACAATAAGAAGGAAATGAGTTTTACATAATAAATAGGTAATCCATGAAATTTACCTTTGCTGTCACCATCTAAGTTTAAGTAAAGGCAGTTCAGCATACATTCTTTTGGCATTTCCTTGGTTCAATTATTATTTAATAGACCTAAACTCTGGATACACTAATGAATGAATGAATGATTTATCAATGAAGGAAAGTAAAAACAAAGTGGAAGTATTTCTTCTCACTTGACCCCCCAGTTGTATAGCAAGTTTCCTTTCTTATGCCTTTGAGTCACCGTTCTTCAGCAAAAATTAAAATTTTTAATTTTAAAATTAAAAATACAAATTTGTCAATTTAAAATGACTTTACCACCCAAAGTTAGTTTGAATTTTTAGATAGATCTGTGGCATGATAAAGGTACTTACCACTCAATATCCATTTCTTAATCAGAATGAGTTTACTTTAGGAAGGAAGAAGAGGTTGGTTCTGAGGTTCCCTGCCCCTTTTAATCTTCTGAGGGTCATGCTTAGACATTTAAGGAGAGTTGCAAGATGATTGAAATAAGAAGGAAATCAATATAAAAAGATAATGCTTATTAAGAAATGTACCCACTCTTTTTCTAGGATAAATATCTTCTTTATGTAGTGCTGGATTTTTCCACCCTAGATTTTACCATTATTAATAGTCAGTGTCTCATTTAGAGCCCCTAATCGGACAGTTTTAATTGTTTTATTTAATAATTTTGGCTCATTTCTATTTGAAATAGGTGAAAACAGTCAGAGAAACAATGTGCAGTCCCCTTAGTACTTTTGTAGGGAAAAATTTCTTTATAAATTTGTGTATTATAGTTGTGTCAAATTTGTTTCCTTGGGCTTCTTTTGGTTTTGTTGTATTGTTTTATTTATTTCATTTTTTATTTCAGGGAATTCCAGGATTCACTGGTAATATTGGTGTACGTGGTTACCCTGGCAGGCAGGTGAGGTAACTAAATTTATACTTCTCCTTTTATGTTCCTTTTCATTAATGCATTGTATGCTCTGATTTTCAAGGTTAATGTTTAAATAATAATTTTATTTCTATTAAAAAATGAATTACTCATGGCAAATAATTTCAAAATTAAAATTATAAAAATCCTTAAAAAATGTTACTGTAGAAAGTTTTGGTTAAAATGGGAGTGGGGTTTTTAAACATGTGTGATGTGATACAGTGGAAACCTCAAAATTAAAATGCCCAAGGGTCTCATAAGATTTTAAAATGATCCTGCTACTGATTTTCCAATACTGCCACTCACTGTAATGAAGTAATGGTAGAAGTTAAGATTGTATAACAAGCATTATTTTTTAATAGCAGAGTTATAAAAATGTGAGACACAGTTTGGCAGTGCTATGTATACCACTACCGAATACTTTTATGTGAAATGAATTCAAGTCTTTCTATACAGTTTTGAAAATTCATTCTAAACACTTCATATTTATTCTCCTCTCATTTATAACTTTATCTATTTCTTATAGACTAATAATAGAACAAATTTTCTTTCTGAGGTTTTCGTGAATTGAAGACTTACTCTTGAAATTAATTATTAATTTAGTATACTAGAAAACTATAGTTATATCTTTTTAATTCTCAAGGATGAGGGAAATGAAAATGCCAAAAAAAGTAACAAAATTCCATATTTTACGCCTTTAAAAATTCTTGAAGAGTAATGTGCATTAGAATCTTACCACCAAGTGATAATTTGTGTTGTCTGAAGCATATATAAATACTCAAGCATATAGACATTGATCTGAAATTAAAAGTGTGTTGATTTTTTTTAATTATGGGAATATATTTTATGTGAGTTAGTTAGAAGTGTTTTAAAAGAACATGGTTTTCCAAGGAGAAATAGATTAAGATTTATTTTTTGTATCTTATAATGTGTGTTAATTTACTTTGCTTAGATATCTAAAACATTTTTGCATAGATTATATATAATACCTCTTTTGATTCTGAAATTCTAGAAATTCCTTGAACATATATAATCTTAATTATACTTAGCTTTGAATTTTATACTTGTGACAATGACACCTCTTTATATGCCTATTTTATTTTATTTATCAACAGTACTTTCAGAATACTGTAGTATGATAATGATGTCTTTTGTTCACACTAGGGTTTAGCTGGACCAGAAGGTAACCCAGGCCCTAAAGGTGTACGAGTAAGTAAGCATTTTTATCATCTTGTAAGCATGTTTGCATAAAAATCAAATGAAGTATGTAAAATAGATATCATTTTCATACTTCCATAGGAAGTTTGAATATAATGCCAGGTTAGCCTGAAAAGAAATATATTTGTTTAATAGATACTTTCATTGTTAACAGCCACAGAAAGCAGTCTTATAGCAGTAGGTTTTTCCTTATTCTTTTCTAATACTTTCTGGCTGCTAGCTTAATGTCTGTTATGTTAGAATGGACTCTATCAACATTGGTAGTATAATTTATGTATGAACGTATATAGACATAAGAAATCATGATAAAAAACATGAGGCAAAAAAATCATAGTAATTTCAAGGCTGAGATAATATGATATAAAAACTATATGGAGTAAAAAAGATTTTATCTGCAAAGAAGGAAGTAAGCTTATCAAGAATATACGATTGCACTTTAAACCACTAAAGAGTTTAGTCACTTTTAATCATTAATGGAGTGAAAAAAAATTCCTGTGATATCTTATGTAGTGTGCTACAAATTAAAATCAAAGCTGGTCTAGGAAAAATTCGAGAAAGTAAACTTGAATTTTTGTTTTTAAAATGCTCTACTTTTAACAGCAAGTTATCTTCCAGAATCTATGTCTATGCCTTATATTATCTAAAATCCTTTTTTGAGGGGCGTCTAGGAGGCTCAGTTGGTTAAGTATCTGATTCTTGATTTCAGCTCAGGTCATGATCTCAGGGTGGTGAGATGGAGCCTCGTGTTGAGCTCCATGTTGGGTGTGGAGCCTGCTGAAAATTCTTTCTCTTCCTCTCCCTCTGCCCCATTCCTCTCTCTCTTAAAAAATACAGATAAATAAAAAATGAAATACCTTTTTCAAATAAAGCATAAAGTATTTAAACAGTTTGTGCTATAATGATGCTTTAAATTTTAAAAAATTCTAAGTAATACTTTCATATGTATTTTCTTTTTTTATTTTGCTATCAATCCTGTGAAATAATTTTACAGATGAGAAAATAGCAAGCTAAGGAATTTACACAAGTTGGCAAAGTCCTATCTGGCCAAAGAACCAAAATCTTCTTCTTCTTTTTTTTTTTAAATATAATAATCTTTATTTTTTTAAATTTCTTTTCAGTGTACCAGAATTCATTGTTTATGTACCACACCCAGTGTTCCATGCAATACGTCCCCTCCATAATACCCACCACCAGCCTCACCCAACCTCTCACCCCCTGCCCCTTCAAAACCCTCAGATTTTTTTTCAGAGTCCATAGTCTCTCATGGTTCATCTCCCCTTCCCATTTCCCCCAACTGCCTTTTCTTCTCCATCTCCCCATGTCCTCCATGTTATTTCTTATGCTCCACAAATAAGTGAAACCGTATGATAATTGACTCTCTCTGCTTGACTTAGTTCACTCAGCATAATCTCTTCCAGTCCCGTCTGTGTTGATACAAAAGTTGGGTATTCATCCTTTTTGATGGAGGCATAATACTCCATAGTGTATATGGACCACATCTTCCTTATCCATTCGTCAGTTGAAGGGCATCTTGGTTCTTTCCACAGATTGGTGATTGTGGCCATTGCTGCTATGAACATTGGGGTACAGATGGCCCTTCTTTTCACTACATCTGTATCTTTGGGGTAAATACCCAGTAGTGCAATTGCAGGGTCATAGGGAAGCTCTATTTTTAATTTCTTAAGGAATCTCCACACTGTTTTCCAAAGTGGCTGTACCAACTTGCATTCCCACCAACAGTGTAAGAGGATTCCCCTTTCTCCACATCCTCTCCAACACACATTATTTACTGTCATGTTATTTTGTAAGGTGGTATCTCAATGTGGTTTTGTGGGGTTTTTTTTTTTTTTGTATTCTTTAGTGTTTTATTTTTTGTTTTATTTTTCTTTTTTAACTTTTTATTATTATTATTATTTTTAAATTTCTTTTCAGCGTAACAGTATTCTTTGTTTTTGCACCGCACCCAGTGCTCCATGCAATCTGTGCCCTCTCTAATACCCACCACCTAGAACCAAAATCTTCTTACCTCTAGCTATGTACTCTTTCTTCTATCCTATACTGTCTCTACCCTTCTATTAAGTAAGAATATAGTGGAAAAAAGTCATGTATTTTTTTTTTATTAGAAAGTGTACGAAAAGCACATATTGACTTGGATCTGTGAAGTAGAGAATAGTGGTCAAGAACCTGGGCTTTGGAGTTAGGCCTGCTTTTTTCCCTTCATTTAAAAAATCTTATTAGACAGTGGTAGCAAAACTTACCTTTAAGGTAGTTACAATAACTGCCAGAGCTTAACATTTCTTAAACCATAGTGTCTAGCATAGACAATCCATTTTCTATAAAGACTTTAATCATTTTATTGGAATTTTGGAGTATTTTCTGTGCATGAACTTGGAACTCCAAGACATGTTATTTGGTACCATGCAGTTTTCCCTTACTGTATTTTCTCATCTTGCTTCAGTGATTCCCAGAACTTTTCTAAGTTCTTCTTTATACCATTATATTATACATCCTTATGTACCGTATTATATATCCTTTTGTTGCTTTTTTTCCTCACTTGTATAGAAACTGTTGTCTGGGTTGTAACTATTTTTAGGATGTGTTTTTAGATTTTGACAGCCATCTTCTTAAAAGCAGTTAAAAAATAACAAATATAATTTATTTTCTGATTGATTCAATTGATTTAATTCTTTAATTTTCCTTTGGAAATACAGGGGGATTCAGGAAGTCCATTTCTATAGTCTTCACATTCACAGAGGGTCTCAGATGTGGACTTTTAAGTTTTTGTTTTTTGGGTTTTTTTTTGACAGAGAGAGAGATCACAAGTAGGCAGAGAGGCAGGCAGAGAGAGAGAGGGGGAAGTAGGCTCCCCGCTCAGCAGAGAGCCCAATGTGGGGCTCGATCCCGGCATCCTGAGATCATGACCTGAGCTGAAGGCAGAGGCTTAACCCACTGAGCCACCCAGGTGCCCCACAAATGTAGACTTTTAACATTAACTTCAAATCCACATTTGATTAAAAAGACAAAAATTACAAAAACACACTGACAGGATTATAAGATGTTTTTCATTTGATTTGTGTCCCATATGCTACCACTGTAAATTATTATTTTTATAAATCATGTTGGTAAATGATCTTTTGACTGGCAGCATTATTTGATTCCATTTTTTGGTGTTATGATATTACTTCTATGTGCATTTTTTTTTTAAGATTGTATTTATTTGAGACAGAAAGAGAAAGCGCAAGCATGAGTGAGGTTGGGGGGTGCAAAAGGAGAAGTAGAAGCAGACTTTTCACTGAGTACAGAGCTGGATGTGGGGCTTGATCCCAGGACCCCGGGATCATGACCTGAGCCATAGGTAAATGCTTAACTGACCGAACCACCTAGGTCCTCTGATACTACTTTTATGTTAAATGTATATTTTGTAACCCTCTTTTGGCATTTCTTTGTGTAATTATATGCTCAGTGCCTCAAAAAGTAGAAGTGTGTAGGGCCTCTTCTGACTTTTTAGTGGCCTTACTGATGACACAAAATTGCATCTAACTGGATATACAACCTTCAGTCTAAAATTAAAAAGCAGGGTAGTGCCTGAGAATGAACACAACCCCATGTGATTTCATCGTGGGTGCTGCTGGCATTTTATTTCTGTTAGCATGAGCATAATAATTATTAAGAAACCTTTATGAAACACCTGTGTGATCACTCATTAAAATCTTTAATTGTAAAATGTCTTTGCACCCTAGTCAGGCTATGTTGAGTAGAGGTCTTTCTTCTGAGGCCTCAGCTGATTAGTGCAGCAATAAGTGTGTGCCAGTTAGGCTGTCTATTCTTTTTATTTATAAGCAAAAACTCAGTTGTATATGTTATACAAAACATATACAAAACAAACAAACAAAACAAAAGTTAAGGCTTTTAAACTTGAGGCTAACTGTAGCTGGTGATTCTGAAAATACATAGAGCTTGTCATCATAATCCTAAATGTTTTGATATCAGGAATGTTTTTGGATGCTTCATTTTATAAGAAACTTTTCAAATCCTCCACACGCTTGGCTTTTAAGCAAACAAATTATAATGCTTTACTTACTATTTAAGTAGAAGGAAACTAGTTTTCTCTTTTTAAAAAAAATTTGCTTTGTTCATACAAACTCTGGAATGTAGGGAATTTTAAAGGTGTTTTTCTTTGTCAAAGAAAAGTGCTGCTCTCACCAAGGCAACACCCAACTAGCTTTCACTCAGAGATTAAATCCCTCCCAAGGTTCTTATTCCAGGCAAAACAGAAATGATTCCTGAGATATTCTGATGATGTGTAAGTCAGTAAGAAAAAAAATGTAAAACCTACGTAAAATAAAATTTTCCATTTTATCCATTTTTAAGAATACAGTTTAATGGTCTTAGTCTGGGCTGCTGTTTAGAAATACTACAGACTGGATGGTTTAAATGACAAATTTTGTGTCTCAAAGTTCTAGAGTCTGAGAAGTTCAAGATCAAAGCACCAGCAGATCCTGTATCTGATGATGGCCCACTTCATGGGCTATAGACAGTTGCCTTTCTACTGTATCCTCACGTAGCTGAAATAGCAGTCACCTCTAATCCCATTCATGGGGGCTCTACCCTCATGACCTAACTACTTCCCAAAGGGCCCACCTCGAATACTGACACACTGGGGACTACAGTTCAACATATTAATTCAGTCCATAGCAGGAGGCATGAAGTACATTCACACTGTTGTACAGCTATCACCACCATTCACTTCCAGAACTTTCCATCTTCCCATACTGAAACTCCATACCCTTTAAAAAGTAACAACTCATTCTTAGTTCCTCCCAACTTAAGGCAACCATTCTACTTTCTGTCTTGATTTCAAGGTCATGAGTTCAAGCCCCATACTGGGCTCTGCAGTGGGTGTGGAGCCTACTTAAAAAACAAAAAAACATCTATTCTGATGATGTGTAAGTCCGTTGAACGTGCTTGGCAGTGTTGCATTGACAGTTCAAATTGGGATATCCTGGACCAACACTGTTTTAGTAATTTTCTCTGGATTTGCTCACAGTTTTTCTTTTATACATGTGAATGGATTTTCTTTATTTTTATTTTTCTTTCTTTTTTAAATTTAAATTCAATTAATTAACATTTAGTGTATTATTAGTTTCAGAGGTAGAGTCCAATGATTCATCAGCTTATTTAATGCCCCATGCTCATTACATCAAATGGCCTCCTTAATGTCCATCATCCAGTTAGTTACCCTATCCCCATCCACCTTTCCTCCAGCAACCCTGTTTGTTTCCTATGATTAGGAGTCTCATGTTTTTTTTCCCTCTCTGATTATATCTTGTTTTATTTTTTCCTCCCTTCCCTTATGATCCTCTGTTTTTTTCCCTAAATTACACATATGAGTGAAATCATATGATAATTATCTTTCTCTGACTTATTTTACTTAGCATAACACCCTCTAGTTCTATCCATATCATTGCAAATGGCACAATTTCTTTCTTTCTTCTTCTTCTTTTTTTAATGGTATTCTACATAGTGGGCACTTAAGTAATGTTTTAGAATCAGTGATCTAGGCTCGTATTACTTCAAATTTGGACCATCAAAAGAACCTTCTAACAGGTTTTCCTACATTCATTGTTTCTTGTCTCAGATGTATTCTATATCCTGTCAATAGATTAATATTTGAGAAAGACAAATTAACCTCAAGGCACTACCACATTCCCTCAAGGCAGGAGCTTTCAGTTGTCTAAAACATAAAGTCTAAAATTCTTATCTTGAAATTTAAAGGTCTCCTTAACGTAGTGTCCAAACTATCATACACTTTCTTTTAAATTGATGAAGATATTATTATTTGCCATAGAGATGTAACTTTATCCTAACATAAAGTACAGTTGCATTGTTATTTATCCCCTGTTGTCAGGCCAGTTGGAATCTTCTTTAGGATACAATGCATCTTTGCTCTTCTCCAAAGCATTTACGGGTATAATGTTATCTGTTACCATTTATTACTGTTTACAAACACTTCGTGAAGTTCTCTGTTTCCACTTCCTATAATTGTTCTGCTTGGAGTTTCCTTTCTTCTCTCTCTCTCTCTTTCTCTCTCTTTTTAAAAAGATTTTATTTACTTATTTGACAGAGAGACACAGCAAGAGAGGGAACACAAGCAGGGGAAGTGGGAGAGGGAGAAGCAGGCTGAAATGCGGGCCTCCATCCCAGGACTCTGGGATCCTGACCTGAGCTGACCGAGCCACCCAGGCACCCCTGGAGTTTCCTTTTTCCATCCTCTGCTTGTCAGGACTTTACCTACTCTATATGCCTATCTCAAGTGCCAGTCTCTTATTAAGTCTTTTTTTTAATTGCCTTTACCTCCTGCCACATTGGCATGAATTTCCTCTTCTTCTGTATTAAGTATCTTTTGATACTTCCATTCTGCCTTATATCTTAGTTAATTATATATTTTCTAACCACTGTAAAATTCAACAAAGAAAAGGATTTGGTCTTGATTTTCATGGGTCACTGTCTTAAGTTATGGTCCCTACTTTTTTTTTTTTTAATGAAAAGATTGATCTGTAATTTCTGGAAGGAAGGTGATAAAGCAAGGAGAAGTTACTTATTCTGTTAAGCCTTAAAGTTTCATATTATTATGAAAAAATTTATTATCTCTACTTGGAATTACTTGCAGAGTATGTATTCAAATGAAATAATATAAAGATTATTTGCTTACTTTAAGGGTTTCATTGGCTCTCCTGGAGAAGTAGGACAACTAGGACCTGAAGGAGAAAGAGTAAGTCCATTTCCTTCAAATATTATTTCTAAAGTGATATGCTAATGTATTAGACAGGTAATCTTACAGAGTAAAGTAAGCCAGCTTTAAGAAAAATCACCTACCAAAAATATAATTAAACTCTATGGAATTTTACTGAATTTTATTTTAAGGAAGTAAGATGATACAAATGTATACAGTTAGCTATTTTAAATTTAATTTTTAAAAAACACAAATTGAAATATTAAAATAAAATTATATTTTATAATTCATTAATCTTAAAGCATAAACTCTTGACAGGTCTTAAATTTTATAGTATAACACACAGTAATTAATTCACCCACAGAAGATATATTTTTTGTTTAATTTAATAATGGAAGGTAGTTCATAAGTGTAGGTATGAGAAAGGTACTTTTGAGTAAAGACAGGATCTTTGCAAAATGGTTGTTATCTTAAAACAGTTAATCAAACTAGGTACAGAGTTCTGGCATTCCAACTTCATCATGTCTGATTTTCAGTGTTGTATGCAATTCATTGGTTTCTATTTGTATTCCTTCATTTTACTGCCAGCATTCAATGAAAAAATAGAATCAAACAATATTAGGTTTGAAAATAGTCATATTCAGAATTTAGCATTCAACACTATTATTGTAGGTATGCTATTCAAACCAGAATTTTCATTTCTGGAAACTGGTTTTTGCAAGTAAAAGTAAACCAGATTATTCTTTGCTGGGTGAATTTTTCAGATGCATAGTGTGAGTGAATTATATCACATTTTTCTTGTAATCACTTGTGAATTTCCTGACAGAGAAGAAATATTCAAAGTTTAAATGTGCTCTAGTGACAATCAAAATGTCCAGTCTTCTTTGGTGAGATGAGGTGAAGATTTTCCCTTGTTGAATATACAAGTCATTTCTTTCACTTGCAGAAATATCTTCAGTGGGATCCCACAACTAAGCTACTTAATTGCCATGTGATACAGCAGACTTACAGATCATGTTCCCAATCTGTCAAGCAAAGAATTGAACTGCTTCTCATTGACAAAAGGAATATATGCGGTTTACATTGTTATTACTCTGCTGCTCATGATATAGTACTTTCCTGACCTCATTTCTAGTTAATGATGTAATAAATAAAGCAAAATTATATGTCCTTGAAAATGTTATCATCTTGGATTTAAGGATCCCATCACTTGACTATCATTAGATACATGCCTATAATCATGATCATTAGTTTTGACCAGTCTAAGTGAAAATATTAAGACCTGTCTCAAACCATTTTGTGATATTTTGGCTGTCATGGATAACATGTCCTAATATTATTTGGCTACTTCAAAATTTTGATTAAAACTGTGAATAATATAGCTAACTGGGTATTTTTATTATGTTATAAAATGTATACATGCAGAGAAGAGATAAGAAGCATAGAGAAGAGAGAAGAAGAGTAGAGAAGAAAAAAGAGAGTATAATGCTAATCACTCCTGGAAAAAAATAGAAAAATTCCTTCCTGGGAGTCAGTAATATACGTATGTGTAAATATTTGGCAAAGTGCTTATATAATTTTGTCTGTAATATCCTTAGGTTTCCTGCTGAAATTTAGTTGAGCTACTAGAGTTATAAAAATTAATTACCTTATTTTTTGAAAAAAGGTTTGCTATATTATGTAAAGATGTATAAAGTCTTAATGAAATGAGTCCTATTGCTTACCCATACATACTCTTCTGATAAGACATTAGATAAGTATTTATCAAACGCTGTTCAATTGAAAGTGGATGGATTACTTCAACTAATGGTATCTTCTAACTTATCTATATATACTGTCAATCCCAAGCTATATAGATCTGGCAGATTTCTTAGTCTTTAAGGCTTCCAAGTGATTCTAAGTCTCAGTGTGATTCTATCACTGAGATATTTTGGACCGTAAGTAACAGAAAACCTCAACTCAAACTGGCTTTAAAATGAGGAAATTTTTAATAATGATGGCAATGATAATAGCAAACAGTTTACTGAATTGTTATATATATGCATGCACTGTGCAAATATTTTATATGAATTAACTCCTTTAACATTCCCAAGACCCAGTGAGATAGGTACTATTATTATTATTCTCACTACAGATGGAAAAAAGATGAGGCATATAGAGAGAAAGACGTGTCTAAGACTATATACATGTAATAAGAGCAGAGCCAGGTTTTCAACACAGATGATCAGCTCCAAAGCTTGAGAGTTTAAATATTATACCCCACTGCTTCCTGTAGGACCAGAAATCTGTAGGTTAGGCGGGATCTAGGCACATTATGATCTTGAGCACAGTGATACCATCTCTCTGCCTTGCCTTGCCTAATGTTGGCTTGACAAAGGCAGGTTTCCCATACAGTTGCAGAATTGCCAGTGTGAGGGCTAAACGTGCTTTCGTTTATGCCCAGCCAGAGAGATAGGGAGACAGATGAGGTGATTGTCCCTTAGATTTTGGAAAAGTAAGACCTTCCTGTTTATCTGGTTGTGTCAACTTTGGTTGTGTGCCTACCTCTGGACAAATAACTATCACCAGAGAAATGTCAGGATCCCATTTAGAAGTACAGATAGGATGCATTCCAGAAAAAAATCAGGTTGCTGTTATGAAGAAAAGGAGACACTTTAGTTAAATTAATATATTGAAGCTTTTATGAATGTCATACTAGTTTAAAGAACAATTCATTTTTCTCCATCATACTTCATTAATTGATGTTTGAGAAGGAAAAAAATGTCTATAACATCTAATTCATTCATTTATTCAACAAATGTTGATTTTTTTACTTTTATATATTCTAGGGTGTTCCTGGGCTCCGGGGAAAGAGGGGTCTTAAGGGAAGACAGGTAATTCAACTTTGTTTTCTGAGGTTCAGTTCAGAGAAATATAATCTAATTATGTGCATATTTCTCACCTATACAAATATAATTGTAGTTGCCCTTGTTATCCACAACTATCTCATTCAACAGAATTTAATTTTTGCTAACTTGTCTATCAATTAATACCTGAGATTTTGAAGGAAATTTTAGATTAAAAAATAATGAAATTTAATGTTCCTAACCCATTTAATAGACCAGTAGAAAGGACCTTTATCCCTATGACAAAGAACTAAAATGTCACAGCAAATACCTAAACAGTTTAAAACACTAATGATAGCACTATTCACCCTCCTGTTTTACACGTTTTCAAAATTCCTGCTTCAGGTATTAGCTCAGAGACTAGTTCCCTACAGCTTCTTCTATTTTCAGGTTTAAGAAGATGAAGGGAAGTGAATTTTGCCAGATAAAATAATAATTTCAGAGATGAGAGGAAATTTTGACATCATCCAATACCCCCATCATTCAGCAAATGAGAAAACTGTGGTTCAGGGAAGCATCCTCATGTCCTCCTCACATAACCCTAGCCACCTCCTTGTCACTTGTGTTGTTTTGACAGCGATCCACAGGTCTTTATTAGGATAACGCTTTTTGTGCTCACATGGTTTTCTAGTCTATGAGGAAGGAAATTGAGTTTTTCATATCAGCTTTTCTAAAATTTTGGTGTATGTAAGTAAAACCTTGATGATATAAAAGGTTACAAACCTCACCAGAATATTCATATCCTTTTAAAGCATTTTATGCTTGTGCTTTGCAGGATTTCTTGAAGGTAGATTAGAATAGGTATGAATGTCACCATTATATCGGCGGGGGAGAATGAGGCTCAGTGATGTTTAGAGACTTGCTCAGAATCCCGTAGAAAATGGTGGTAAAATCAAGAATTGATCTCGGCTCCTCTGAGTATAAATTCAGGAGTCTTTTTTAACTCTCTCAGTATTTGTGCTCTCTGCTACTCACACAGCTTACAAGAGCATGATTAATGTTTTCATGACGTTTGGCCAAAATATGATACAATTATTTCTAAGTTTCACTTTAAAAATTCCAGTTTACTGGGGCACCTGGGTGGCTCAGTGGGTTAAAGCCTCTGCCTTCAGCTCAGGTCATGGTCCTAGGGTCCTGGGATCCAGCCCTGCATCGGGCTCTCTACTCAGCAGGGACCCTGCTTCTTCTCTCTCTGCCTCTCTGCCTACATTGTTGAAAAAATAGAGTATTTTCCCAAAGCTCCCGTGATATATCACTTATATAGCTACACAGCTATCACTTATGTAGCCATATTAATATGGCTGTTTCATATAGATATTAACTTTATCTTGGAAATGTATAGGTAATTTCCAGTTTCCTGCTCCATCATGAACTCCAATTATCCATGGAAATTTATAGATAACATCTGGTTTTTTACTCCCCAGAGAATTATAAAATTATCCAACAGATGCTATTGAATTCAAAAGAGGAGTTCAAGAAAACTGTAGAAAAATAATGAATGAATGATTACTGGGTTGATTACACTGTTCTTTACATTACAAAATTTGTAAAGTTTTATTGCTTTAAAAACATATGCCCTTCTCACAGATTTAGATCCTTAGGAAAATTATATTTGAAAAACATATGTATCTCATTTTCCTAAATAGTGTTTATAGTAGAAAATCTGTCTGGTACTGTACTATGTCATGTATGCTATATGTACTTTTGTTTTTAACCACAAAATGATTTGGCATGTTTATATGGAAATCACAGTACTTAAAGTTAGATACGGTTACAGCCACAAGTCAAAAAGCCAAGGCTGACCTCAGACACTGTTCTTAGAATAGTATCTTATGTATAAATGCTCCTCTGTGTTCTGTTAATTATAAATAAAATCATCTTCAAATAGCTTTGACATTAAGGGCAAAAGTGCTAGCATGGGATATTATATATTCTGGGACACTTGTATTTCAATTTAGATGATTAAAATTCCATGAGAAGAATGATTACTATTTACCGTTTTAATAACAGTAAAAGGAAAATATCTTTGATGAGGTACACACTCTCTGATGTAGAAAATAGTAGGTGTGTGGAATACAAATTTGACCATTTTGGGGGGCAACTTATTCAATTATGTTTAGTATTTGTTATTATGTATGATGTAGATATTCAAATACAGAGCCAGAACTAAGGCATGCCAGTCTACCATAAAGAGGAAGGAAACCTATATATCTGAAAGAATATAACAGAAACTGAGGAAATACTGAAATCTAAAAGTACTTATATCTAAGAAACTTTTGGCTCTGCATATGTCAAAGAGAGTTACTTCCAATTTTCTTTCTTTTTTTTTTTTTATAAATTTGTGATTTTCTTTTTTTTTTTTTAAGATTTTTTATTTATTTATTTGACAGACAGAGATCACAGGTAGGCAGAGAGGCAGGCAGAGAGAGGGGAGGGGGGAAGCAGGCTCCCTGATGAACAGAGAGCCTGATGTGGGGCTTGATCCCAGGACCCTGGGATCATGACCCGACCTGAAGGCAGAGGCTTTAACCCACTGAGCCACCCAGGTGCCCCAGTTACTTCAATTTTCAGCTGACTTCAAAGTCATTTAGAAATGTGGGTTCATGCTTTATTAGGCTGCTGCTATGTAGATCCCATGTTATTTCATTTACTATCATTAGTATGAAAGTCATCAGATGTACTTTCTTATAATCATCACTCCCCTTTAATTAATCTGATTATTCTTTCTGTATGTTAAATTAGCTCATTTCCTCAAATTTTAGGTAGGTAGAAGTATGCAGTCTTGAGAACATAAACTATGATTTAGTTTGAAGTAGTTCTTATAATGTAATTTATAGAAAACTAGTAATTCTTTTTAGGTAACTCCTTAAGTTTTATGTAATATTTTACATGTGTGTTTTTTTTTTTTTTTTTGTCAAGTCTCTGAAATTAAGGACAGAAGCTGGTAAAGTAAAGTACTTCACTTTCTGTATTATGTATGATATGAAACATTTTGACAGTCAAAATAGACATAGAAAAACCTCAAAAATCCAAGTTCAAGCCTTTCTAAATATTAATCAAGATGAGTCTCTTTGCACTATTGAGTTGGTTTTTAACCTGTGTACTAAAGCTGTGTTTGATATGAAGTTTACAAAAATATTAATATATACGTCTTCCTTCTGTATAGACATCATATACTATGTCCATATAGTACAGAAAGATAGAGGAGTAGTAAAAATCCTGTCCAAAATTGTTCAGTGAGTTAATAACATTACTAAGCTTAGGCTCTGAAGAATTTTGCTATCAATCATACATTCCTACTGCTGGCCAGATCATCACTTATTTTTGTGAATAAACACTAAGCATGGAATTAAGTTGTTGTGAACCAACTTCCTTAGTGATTTTTGTATTTTTTTAAATAAAATGATAGACTTACAAGAGAGGGATATCTTCTCTTAAATAGTATAAGTATTGTATGAACTCTTTTGAAAATGGAAACATTTCAGAATAGCATATTATTTTGGTTGTTTAAGAGTTATTCAGTATTTAGCCTCATACTGCTATTTTTAAATTTAATGTTTGGGTTAAAATTATTTCATTTTAAATCTTACTTCCCAGGAAACTTTTCCCCAAAATAAAATATTGTATTTATTCAGTGTTTATTGATTGAGTTGATATTTATAACACAATGTGTTTTTATTTTTTCAAACTAGAAAAGTAGGAAAATTGGTTTTGTTGGAAACTTGGTGTATTTTAGGATCAGAGTATATAAAAGTAGTTATATTAACAAATTTTTATGTTCTTTGGCCTTATGTTGTTGACATTTGAGAAGTTTTTTTCTTCTCTCAACTATAAGCTATTTTATTTCAAGATGTAAGATAAGGTATTTACTAATAATCATTACAATTATTTTTAAAGACCTCATGTAATAAGTTATATATTAGTCAATATTTGTGTACTCATGCTTTTGGGTATTGAGATATTATAGTTCTTACCTCTTTCTTTCCTCCCCTCTTTCACTCCCTACATATTACAATTGGATCAAATTCCTTACTGTCAGTTAATATTAGAGGGTAGCTATGAGGGTCTAAGTGTTATTCATTCATGCTTTTTGCTGTCTCTGAATATAGTTTGAATTTATCTCAAGTTCTTTCTGAGGAACTGATAAAAACAAGGTGGTAGACAATCTTTATTGGCCAGGACTCTTTTAAATACCATAGAACTACCATTCTATTTTATATACTCTACTGTCTTTATTTGAAAAACCTCTTGGAACATAACTGATGACCCAGATTCTTTAAAAGCATATGTCATCCACTGATTTATAATAGAAAAGAAGAATGCTATTAAAAAAAGGAGAGAGAGAGAAGGCAGGGAGAGGTTTCATATATATTTGTTAACATCAGATTTGATATGTATTACCTAATTGTAAGCAGCTTTTTTTTTTTTTAATGCAAAGATTTCAAACTTTATTCTGGAGTGCCACAGTCAGGAAGTTCTATAGTTGCTTAAAGAAAAAAAAGCATTTTAGATGGTTCCCGGATTGATTTAATCAGTATTCCCTTTGTTGTACTCAGTTGGTTATGCAAATTGGTATGACTCCACAGATCTAAAATATTTATGCCAGAACTGACTTGTCGGGATTAAAGATAAACATGAAATAGGAGCTGGAACTTACTCTCAACAACGCCTAGAAAACCGTTGTCAAAATAGAGAGTTTTTGAAGGAGTTTTTCAGACCTGATGGGAGTAGATTATAAATAATCAAAGCATATTACATTAAAGTTTGACAAAGAAGTATACTCTGTTTTCTTCCGATGCAAATAAAAATATCATAGTCTTGGGATACAGACAAAATAACACCCTTAAGGCACCTGGACTTCAGAGATGTTTGCTTTTCTAACTATAGAAAGCAGTGTCTCCTCTTTTTTTCTCATACATCTTTCTGTTAGAAGAGTCTATTTAAAGTAAACTGTATTTTGGCTTCTAACTCCAGTGTTAGAATTTCAG